GCTATCAAATACAATCACCGAACGTGCGGCATCTCTTTCCACTTCTCTTCGCTCTCCCACCCCCTTCGGAGGGTGCCTACACCTCTTTCCACTCTCGCAAGTCGATTCGTTCTCGCTCTCACGAATTGAATCCGTTCTTCGTGGCGGAAGGTAGGGGGACGAGGGATGCCCGTGAGAGGGGTTAGGAGGGAAGATGAAGGAGAGGAGAGAAGGTTGCCCTGGTAACGACACAGGGTTTCTCGACGGTGGTTGCCCGGGCAACCTCTAACCAGCGATCCCTAAATATGCGCCAGCGGGCCAGAAGCGTCGAGAAAGAGGGAGGTAAAAGAGGGTGAGAAGAAGAGACCGCCGCTCGAAGGAACTTGTACAGGAACGTTGCGCGTAAGGAGGGATGGGGTGGTGAGGAGGGAGATGAGGAGAGTCTGGTACTCGACACTGGTTGGGTAGAAGGAGGCCGCTGGTGGGTTGGTAACTGTTACCGCGGAAGGTGAGGAGACCCAGTTAATTACTAAAGCGTTTTAATCGTCGGCGAAGTTCCGACGGCACTCCGGGGTCTCGGCCAAAAGGGCTTCGGAGAATGCGCGCGGGCTGTCTAAATTAGGAACTCGCCAGTTTCCTCGCACCCTCCTCCGCCCCCGTGTGCGCACAGCTTCAACCACCCCACTTGGCGAAGGGGCCACGGGGTGGATGCAACGTTTCCGCGAACTTCCGAGTTTCGCCCTGTTTTAAATCTTCCGGTGAACGATTCCTTTGGATTCCCTGGATGGATTATCGAGGGGCGGGATTTCGGAAAGGATTACGATTTCTTCGAGTTCGAGTTCTGCGACTTTGTTTGGGTTTTCAGAGCCTGGCTTTGGAATGCGAAATGATGAAATGTGAGAAGATTCGGGTGAATGTAATACTGTGTGTAACTGTTTGATTGTATTGATTACTTTTTTGTAAATAATATCCTCATTTATGTGCGATTTGTTAATCGGTAATAATAGGCAAATCTTTTAATCTTCAGTTGAACGCTTTATTTTCTGTTGGTACTTTGTAGTACTTTTTATATTTTAATAAAATACTGTTATAGACTAATATGCCTGGAACCTGCTTAGGACTTAGGTCCCACGAACAGTCGTTTCGCTGGGATATTTGGTTGGTGAACCAGACTCTTGGAATATCTGGTGGTTAACAATTTTTATTTTTTATTGTTGGTATTTAGAAGTCTCTTCGTATTTTATCGATGATCGTATACCATGTTGCATTTGTTATTATACGTAGGAATATCCATCACAGATATTTTTATATTTTAAAAGTATTGTAGTGACTACACTGTGGATTTTTCTTTCTTATCCTTCATCTGGATAAAAGAGCCTCTTAGGTTCTTTTACTACTTCATAATGAAAACTATAATATTATATACAAATAATAGTATATATAATGAATAATTAAAAATTTAATGTTACTATTTTACTAAATAAACAATCTAATTTAAAGGAAGAAAACTATTTTTAAATTATTAATTTCAGTTATTCTCTACTGAAAGTCTGTTGCCCTTTTTCAATCTCTCCTAATGAAGGTTGAGTATCTTATTCAAAAGAAAATAGAAAACACGTTTATTTTATTTTGCAGAGCCCTATAGGATATAAATGCATAAAATTAAACATAATGTAATAAACATAAAAGAATATAAGCAGACATAGGGTGTGTAAAAGGTGGTGTTTGCAGAACGATTTTTCCCACTATTCTAATAACTTTTATATCTATTAGTAATGCCTCTTTATGCATTCACAAAGAGCAGACGCCCCTCGCAGATAATAGAAACGCATCTGTTCGTAGGCAAATTGACTGCAGACGCGTTTGTCAGCCGATAGCGTATCCCCAGACGAGCGCGTGCTCCTCGAGTATAAATTCTGCAAGCTCCAGCCGCCCCACAAGTAGGATACGACGAATTTTTAATTCGTGGAGACTGCAGTTCCCCCGACACGCGTATTTAGCTGCTGAGGAAACGAGTATTTAATGAATAAAACTGAAACGTAAGCATAAAGTGTATCAGAATTGTTTGTAATAATTGCACTATTTATAACTTTCTGAAAAGTAAAAGTTCTTGAAAAATACTGCAAGAAAGAAGCAGGTGATTCTGCATGCGAAAGTAATTTAAAAAGTAGGTTTCCCAATTACAAAACTCATTAAAAGAATATACTGTATCTGCTATAAATAATTATATATATTGACTGAAGTTTACACTAATATGTAAATCGATTAAAAGCATTGCGTGCCTCAAGCGTATTCAACGTTGTGTTTCTGAACTATAAAGCCTCGTATAAGAAAATTCAACTCCATCTTTTCGATTTACTATTGTAAGTACGTACAGTCATGCATTTTTCATTCTTATCCTTTATTACATCACACCCTGTATAAATGTTACTTTTGAAACAGGTAATAAAAGAAACTCACCTTCGTCGAAACTAAGGATTACTGTATGTATATGAAACATTAAATATTTCTAGAATTTACGTCCAACTCTTACTGGATTGCAAATATGGTAAACACATTGCAAGAAATCTATCCATTTTCAGAACTTTTTCTATATCAAATCATTCGATTCTTCAGTTACAGATCGTTAATCGACATATCGCGAATGAAGTATCACGTTCGCCGCAAGAAAAACTGGTGAACGAGATGTTCATTAACCGGGTACATGATACAGTATCATCGAGTAATCGTCGTGGAGGCATCGTTCTCGTCGAAATAGATGGGAGGACCGGAGTTTTCGACTCGGATAGATGGGGACACGCCGGCGAACCGGGCGGAACTCGGCGTCGCGCGCTAAATAACTTTGCTTAACAAGGTGCTGCCGCCACTGTAAAAAGATTACGTAAGCGGTAATGGCCGCCGGCTCCTCCTAAATTCGAGAACGAAGAGTTCCAGCGGAGTGCGCGAAGCCAGGAGACAGAAAGAAAGAGCGAGAAAGAGAGAGAGAGAGAGAGAGAGAGAGGGGGAAGATTGAACGGAGACAGGTAGAAAGAAGCGGAGGACAAGAATGGCGAGCGAAAGGAGAGGGGCGAGAGGGGTTCGTGGCGGGGGTTAATTTTAATTTCCTAATTTTTCCCACCCCGAGGCGCAGGTAATTTCCTCCCCAGAAGAGAATAGATGTAATTACTTAACGCCTCCGAGCTCCGAGCTCCTCTTATTAAAAGAGGATCGTGCCCTCGAGGGCTGGAGGGGTGTAACCCGATTGGTGGGGGGGGCTGGCGCGGAGTGGTGGAAGCACAACAATCGTCGTAGACCGATCGCGAAGAAAGGGAAACGTTCTCGAGCACCTTCCCTGGAATATCTTATTGTCAATAGACACTCTCACAGTATCGACATCGATTCCTCTGATCGGTGTTTCATTCGATTTTCACGAATCTGTTCCCTGTGATTTTTGTAGGACATTTAAAAATCGACGAGGATCAAGGAATCCCAAGGACAACGATATTTATTCTCCGTGGGAGCAGAGAAAATTTAACCGTCGAAGAGAAGAGTGTATATATCTCTCGTAGCTCGAGGAACCAGTGGCTAAGGTCGACAGAATCGAGAGGGTCCACAGGGCAAGGGTGATTTCACGAATGCTGTGGGGTAGGAAGGAGCCATCTTGCGGCCGGTTTCAGGGCAGCCACCAATTGATTCATCCCCACCACGGTTCCCATTACTGGAAGGCGAGGGGCGTCGATTCAATTCCGGGGCAAAAAAAACCGGCCGGCTAGGCGGGGTTCACCGCGTAATCCGTACGTCCCGATTGGCCGGGAATGGAGCGGCACCGGTGAACCCACCGCGGCGTCGACCAATCCACGCGCACTGGGTGGCGACCGAAACCAGTTTCGGCTTCGTGTACAGAGGGGAGCCGTTGACTTCGCTCTCCGGGCAGATAGTGCTGTGCCGTTGGCTCGTGCCGTAGTGGTCCTAACACTAACAGGACCTTGCCAGCAAGGAATCCCTGGAATCCGTTCGTTACCGCGGCCGAATTCGACCGCAAACCAGACCCGTCCGGTCGGCCGTGTTTCCAATCACGTCAGCTGATCAGTGTTTTCGTCGGTGACGATTGCGTAACGTACCGTCCAGGTGCTGTACGATCCAGCCAGGAAGTGTTGATTATCTAAACAGTGTTGGACCGCGGTGTTTTCGTCAATGGACAAGTTTGGTAATCTTCCTTGTTCGGTGTCCTTGTTCGAGTGTTAAAGACATTTCATCGAGAATCGATGATATCGAGATTAGTATGTGGACTGAAGATTGAGTTGATTCTGCGAACAGTTCACGAAAAATTGTATCAGTGACTGGAGTGACATTTCAGGGAGACTGTGCTTGTGTGGGAAATAAAGGACTCTTAAGACTGACCCGTGTCGACCGTGTTTAACAAAGTTTCCCTCGGCTAGCTTCAATAACTCCAGGATTTTTTTATATCGACAGAAGAATTGTCAATGTGTGCGACACTTCACGGTATTGTTGAGAATATATTTGCTACCGCCTAGGATAATAGAAACGTTTTATTCCGATTGTTACCGAAAGATTAACCCCTTGAAACCGACGAAGTTACGAGGCACACCTTCCGACGGCACCTGCGCCCAGTGGCTCCGTACGAATTCTTCCCCAGACAACCACGTGAACTTATTAATCAACCATTTTTCATCCATCAACATCGAGCTCCAATGACCGCAATTAACACAACCAGAAACACCCTACAAAAATCATGCGACTCCGTATAAAGTGAAGCTGTGGGTTAAAGAAGATGTAAATAAACATCTCAATTCGGCCTGTCGACCAGAAACTTGTTCGGGATTCCTTCCATGTCAATTCAACCAGTTCAGCCAGCTGAACCCAAGAAGATTGTGATTCTCGGCTGTCAATTCCAATGAACATAACAGACAAATAGACATCAGAGGAGTGACGTTGACAGAAGACAGGTGGAGGACTATAAATGCAAAAGAAGTGAGGCCTCTCCCGAGGAGAGACAGTTAGCCATCAAGTTGGTACCAAACATGGTCCTGGAACCAGGAGGTGGTCTGTCCTTCCCACTGCCTCCTGGTAGCGGTTCCGGTGGTTCCGGTGGTTCCTTATTGAGACCGGCCAGGCTCTTCCAGAGGGCGACACCCGTGTGGCCCAGCATCAGGCCGCAGCAGCTGCTGTCAGGTTTCTCAGTCATCATCATCCTCATCATCCGCATCCGGCGCTGGGGAACCACCCCCTGGTGCCGGCGATAACTAGCCACCATCCAGCCGCCCATCATCTTCATCACGGTGCCGATCACGCCGACGAGGATGACGAGAAGAAAGGTAGGTGCATTTCCAGGTCGGTTCACCGTTAACTCGCGCTGTCTCTAATAATCGGCACAGCTGCGAGGGGATTCGGTATCGTTGCAAGAAGGCTGCATCTGGGCCCCACTTTTGGGGTTTGTTTTGAAAAGTGTTATGGGACGGCTTTTGATCTGATCATTGATAGTTTCTTTCGGGATTAGTGACTTCACTACTTTCTTTTTTTGTTAGGTTTATTGTCTGGGAGACGATATTGAGCAGTCTTGGTTTGTGTACGTGGTTTCGAGATGTCTGTATAAGGAATTGGATGTTAAACGACTGTGAAGTTTACGATATAAGTGGAGGAGAAATTTATGTAAATATAACTTGCAAAATAAATTTATTGACCGATAGTTTGGCACTATAAAGTGCGGTTAATGTTACAGAAAGCAGTTTTGATTTGAACTCGAAGATAGTAGTAATTTTGTTGCCACATTCTTGCTGCGATATTTTGCATACTTATCGCTTCACAAGTTGCTATTTTAAGTCACGAACAATGGTCCGCTGGCTAGTTGCTGCCCCTTTGCTTATGTACAATGCGAGTTAAACTGCGTGCTACTGACATCGCTGTTTATGCCAATCCGATTAGACCCTTATTTTGGAGTATGAAAAAATAGAAAGCGTTTGTAATTTGACGTTTCGTATTTATTTTAGGTCGTTTTTAAACACGCACATGACGAATTCATGCAAAACTTAACTTCTATTGTGAGTAATATAGTGTTTAGAAAATTCGAATTGGTTAGCAATATTAGCAATAATTAAAGGAATATTAATATAGTTAATACCTTTTAAATTATAGTTTTACAATGTACTGCAGAAATCTCTATAAAGTTTCTGATAATCCATTTAATTCCCGGCTCCATAATTGTCCATAATTTAGGGATTGAATTCAACAAGCTATATTTCCAACCACTTTATATTTTTAATTAATTGTTTCCAGTATGCTTTGAACAAAATAGAATAATACCAAAGAATTAAAATAAGTATACTTCTGGGTACTCAATACCTAAGAACACTCACACGTAATTCCTTAAAATACTGTAATTCCTTCAGATACTGTATCACAATAATCACTGCACTCCTCTGAAGTCAAAATTCCAAGTTTTCTTTCATCCATCCTGCTCAAACTATCAAAATATATATTCTAAAATATTCCATACTCAAAATTTATTTGCACAAATAGTGCAATTAAATACTCAAAGACCCTGTCATGTGTACTGCTCTGATAGACGATTACACGTTGATCGTTATTACTTCCAGGATCAATACAGATCTCTGACTTATCGTCGAATATCTCGATTATGCCTCAGCCTACCACCATAATACCGACTCGAATCGCAATAGAGAGCCAAGAAACGTCGGAATACAGAACCCTAGCGTTCTTTCTTGTCCGCACAGCATCTCGTTCGAATGTATTTCGAAGATACGCCCGGAAAATGGTCTACAGGGAGCGCCGTAACACGGTCAATCATAAGATCGTTCTTGACGAGCCCCTGGGATCGCTTACAGGGTTAGCCCCAATCCGTAACGCCCTTTTTCCACCCTTCCTTCGAGCTGACGGCCTGAAATCACGTTTCGTGTACGAGATCGAGGGTGGAAATCTGTTTTTTACGTGATCCCATTCATGTCCCTAACGCTTGTTTATGCCTCGAAGGGAGTGCCACTTAACTCGGAACTTTTTATTCCTGTTGTTTTGCGGCGGACCCGTCGCGGTCTTGACCAATTCCTGCTTTTTCCACGGTCGAACTCGTTTCCTCGTTCGATCTTCATTATATTCGAAGACTTTGAGATCTTGGAACGAGATCGGCGTCACGGAAACCAGCTGATTCAACAAACTCTAGTGTTGACGAGCAACTGTTTTGGACGATTTTTAATCGTATATTTCAGGCGTGGATAATAAAAATAATGATCGTATGATTTTAGTAACACTATCGTGTATATGTGAATAACAATGAAAACGACAACAGAAAGATAATAAATTTTTGAAACAAATTTTAGTTTCTTAATTTGTTTGAGTGAGATGATACCCAAGGTTGCACTGAATATCTTTCTATCTCTTGATATTATTAAATTAACATAAATTCTTCAATTTCTTAGAAACCAACATTGAGTTTAGCCAAACATGACAATCTACTTACTGGTGCACTTATAGACACGAGTTACAGTTACTTATCTATACTATTCATGTCCTTAGGTTTCAACACACCTAACTCTTCGTGCTAAGTCTAATAGTTCTTGACACTAGTAGGTATCTACAAGCGCTTATTTTTATTCTGCAATTTTCACATACATGCTTAGTCGCCTTGTATGTACTTCAATGTATGATAATGATGTTATATTATTAATACTACTTTCACAAAAAATTATTATTTATTAGACACCGAGCTCAGTGTATTGATTCTCTTTACGTGAATCTTTAACCGAATAAGCTCCTCAAGTCAAAATTTCCTTTAAAATATCCTCTTCTCTTGTTGTTCGTTTTCATAAAACAGCTAGCGAACGTGTATACACATTCACAATCTAATTATTCTGCACCCAAACTAACAAACTCCACTTTCCTCGCTCACTATAAAATTTTCTTCATTTATTATTCGTACGCAAAACGTTAAACCAATTCCAGTCCAAAATAAAGGTAAAAAGCCCCTGACAAAGTTTCAAATCAGTAAATCGATCTATAAAAATCTGAATTTACATACAAATCTGTAGTCTAAAGGTAACTATAAAATTTCAACTGTAATCCAAAAGCTCAGATGAAGCAGCCTTTGTTCTTAATACAAATGAACATCGTCTGTTCTGAGCAGGCGTGAATATTGTCGATTCTTCTTCCCTGAATCAGCCAACAATTCCTTTCCCCAAACGAGCCGAAAGATTTTCGCGTGGGCGAACAACAAACAACCGTGGCTAATCCAGCGGCGGGCAGTCGAAACACAAAAAGAAACACGGCTAAATGAAATCCACAATTGTTCCGCGGCGCTTCCATTACACACGGCGTTTAAAATACTCCGCTTCTAATTTCGCTAATGGGGGCCAACTAGCATAGCCAACCGCACGTAACGCGGCCCGCGCGAGCGGCCAACCTGACTAATGAGTTCCGCGGGTGTTTAACGTAACAGTGTTTAAGATAAACGTGTCACGTCTGACAGACGTGAGAGATCCACGCGGCGGGTGTCCAGACTTCTTTTCCCAGGCGAACCGCCGCCATACGAGGGCATTGAGGAGTCCTGTTTTCGGTGAGTTCATTTGTCAACCAGGCAGCAAGAGCTGGTCAGTCTGGGAAGGTTTGATTGGTTTCTCAATCTGTCTTGTTCTCGTTAGATTCAGTCGTTTCAGAGACGTGGATAGTTTTCAGAAATATTTCATTGATAGGCGTACCAGTAAGTGGAGTGTAGACTGCGGATTTTTATGTAAAATAAAATTTTATAAATTAATTCTTCATGACAAGAACAGAGGTTGGAATTTCTATCTTCGCTTTAGTATGTTATTGAGCAGAGATGGGCACAATTTTATTCGAATAATACATGACAAGAAGCAGCAGTATTTAAATAATTATTTACCAAATGTCTACTCGTTCAAGAAAGAATATTATTTTATTACAATAATTCGAATTGCCACGTTGGATCATTGAAAAATGACGAAATATTTTGTTCATCTTTTATTCGTTATTTGAAACTTTTTATCTAGATAATACATTTGCCCATCTCTGTTATTGAGTTAAGGATAAAATAGAAAAGTTGTTGCATTCGATGATAGTTTTGTCTTTTATTGTATTTCACAGAACTCTAGGCTATAAATGCATACAATCCGCAGTCTTCAATGACTTCTTTCCGAAATTTAATTCTTTAAAATACAATTTACACTCATCATTTTATGAAAGTCCTACGTTACTCTCTTAGTAAGATATTTTCAATATATTTGTTGTTTCAAGGGTGCAAGAAATCAGAAGATTGTTAATCTATCATTTAAATGATTTTTACAGATCATTGATCATTTATGTATATTAGTGGACTTTTACAAGGATTTACTGGATTTTATAGCAGACGAAGATTACTTATTAATATAGTCACTCTGAACTGATCTATAAAGAATTTCATTTCATGGAATCTTAGGTTGCCTAACTGCACAAAGAAGGTATTTCCCATCACAGTTCCAATCAGTTTACTTCTCTGTGGTAGATCTATGTATAGGAACGGTCAATGACATTTCGTTACAACTCAATCCCAACTGGCATTTACTACCATTTTATTAGCGTCTCGAAAGCAACCTCTTTCGGTGCCTCTAATATTTCACAACCGTTCCACCAAATACATGTCTTTCTGAACTAAATCAGTGACCAATGGCCTGCAGCTAATAAAAATATACTTTATAAAAACATTTCAACACTTTTAATTACGACTACATCTGGACTGATGATCTGAACAAGATTCGGTAAACGTTTCGTCGCTTTCTGAACGAAGTCGCTGCTTATCTACAGAAATATTTTGTAATCTCTTCCGTCAGTCTTATCTTCGTTAAATTCATTGTTTCCTGTCGCCGATCTAGATCAACTACATACATAACTATATATGTACAGAAAATCTGTCTTTGTATATTTTTTTATTATCTCGATAGAATTCAAGTTCTGGTCTGAAAGGCAAGAACCGTTTCAATTCCGTTTTTTTCAAATGAAAAGTAAAAATACGTTTAATTGTTAACAAGTTCCCGGTGGTTAATGAATGAAAGGCTACCTAAAAAATATTCAGTATTATCAGCCGACTCCTATCGACATTTAATTAAACCAGAGTGTAATTGAAGTCCGTTCATTGATGATCGTTCTCGGTCATATTGTTGCCGCGCAATTTTATCGTTCCAGTCGATGCCTTTTATCGACGAGTCACGTGAGATTGTGTATGTTTGCGCAAATGAACTCGCCGATCTATTGCGGCCAACTAATTGCAAGAAGTTGTTCGTACTAAATAATTATATCGAGCTAATTTTTCGAAGAG